TGAAGTAGTTCTTGCGGATGTCTAATCTAAACCTACTCTCTAATAATTTGTGTCCATTGTTCCTTGTCATGCCAGGGGGCGCTAGGGGAAACAGTGTCTCCCCTAAACCCTTCTGGTCCCCCCTAGTGAGTTTATAGACAGTCACCAGGTCCCCCCTCAGCCTTCTCTTGTGAAGGCTGAACAGGTTTAGGTCCCGCAGTCTTTCAATGTAGAGTCTGCCCTGTAGTCCCCAGATCATGCAGGTAAGTCCCCAGATCATGCGGGTAACATTACAGGCATGGAGAAAAGAATCAGACTGAAACAATGCAGTTACAGTTTGACCTCTATGGCTCTTGTGGAGCTCTTAGTGCTCATAGCACAAAGCTGTAAATAAAATTGCTCTGGAAGTTTGGGGCTGAATTTTATTATAGAGTACGTAGTGAAAATGCATTGCTGTTCTGTTTAGTGTAGAGAATGGCTGTCTATACAGACCCCAGAAGAGGCATTATTACAAGAACATGGAGGTCATATGCTGAAAAGACTGGTTTCCTGTGTGGTCATAATTCTGCTTCCTTTTGCATACACATTGTTTTCCTCTTTCTTCAATGAGTGGCTCCAGGCCTTATCTGCTGTACACAATTCACGTCCTGCTATGAAGAAAGAATTATACATTTCCTCTGGGCTTTTTTGTGTGCTTGGATACTGTAGCAATGAGCAACTTCCCAACTGTTACTGTATTTTCACAATATTACTGTAAGATGAAGAAATGAAATATTTCCCCATTTCATCAAAAACATTCACTAATTTTGGTGCCCAATGTGAGATGCTTATGACTCGAGTCAGCACACAGAGCATTTCCATTCCATTTCTGTGTTCAAGCAGAACTTCCATAGGTTTCAGGTGTACCTAGGAGTGCTCACCATTTCTGCAAATGAGAACCATGCTCTCAAGTCAGATGCACAGGAAGTGAGGAGCGTACAATGGCATGCCCAACATATTGGAACTGTCACAGAGGTCACAACATTCTCTAGGTCACCAGTCAAGTGCTGGAATGCTGACTCCATCCTTTCTATTCCTGCATCGCCCCCTTGACCACTATGTACCTTCCAGTTTCTTCAACAAATAAGGCAGAGAACCTACGTATGACTTCTTTCTTCATTGCGGAGCCCTGGTTCATCCTGAAAAGCTGATCATTCCTGTGCACTGTCCGTGATGGGTACAGTAGAGAAAAATCAAGATATGACCAGTGTATGACCATGTAACTTAAAGACTGTATTAGCGTGCAAATGTAGGTGC